ATCTTATGTTACCCTTTAACCGACATTTTCAATGAATCTTTTTCCAAAAGTTTTATTCCTGACTCATGGAAAAATATCAAGGTTGTTCCAGTGCCCAAATCAACAAGTGGACCTACTGTCAAGTTTAGACCCATTGCTATTACCTCACCTTTTTTAAAAGTTATGGAAAGACTTATTTTACTTAATCTTGAACCCTCTTTAAAGCCTTTTAACGACCCCAACCAGTTTGCCTATAAACATAGTAGGTGTACCTTAGATGCCGCTGTAGTTCTATATCATAATATAGTCTCTAGTTTAGATAGAGGAGCCAAATATGTTCGGTGTGCCTTCCTTGATTACACATCTGCATTTGACTCTGTACCTAGGTCTCTCTTGTTAAGTAAGCTTGCTGCAACACAGAGTGAGAGCTGGTTAAATAAGTGGTTGTATTCCTACTTTTCTGATAGGAAGCAGTACACTGTCTACAATGGAAAGTCCTCCACTACCTCACTTACTTTAGCTGGTGTTCCTCAAGGTGCTGTTCTTTCTCCTTTTCTGTTTTCTTTTTTCTTACATGACTTACCCCATTCTGATGTAGCCACTTTTGTCAAGTATGCTGATGAACTCTCTGTCTCCACGCCTGTCAACTCTCAGTCAGACTGTTCCATATTAAATAACTTTCTCTCGGAAATTAGTCAGTGGTCCTCTTCAAACGGTCTTAAGCTGAATCCGTCTAAATGTCAGGTAGTAAATTTTACTTTCAGACGAAAAAGTGACCTTCAACAACTAGCTAGCTCACATGGTCCCACTATCATTGACGGCATAGAGGTTAAAACTACATCAAATGTCAAGTACCTTGGACTGAGTATTTCCTCCGATCTTTCCTGGTCCTCTCACATCTTGCTAGTGACTAGAAAGATGTTTCGCTTAACGTTCTACCTTAGGAAGTTTAGGCAGTCTGGTATAAAGCAGTCTTTGCTTTCTCAGTTTGTCAATTCCTGTATTCTACCCATCCCTCTTTACTGCTCCCCTTTAATCTTTCCTGGACTACTTAAGAAAGACTTTGCTTCGCTGCATAGGGCACTAAAAGCAGTTAGTAGGGCAAGTGGGATTTCGTTAAACCAACTGGTTAACACCATAGTGGATAGACATATAATGTCATGTAAGAAACTAGCAAATTCTATATTGTCAGACTCCGACAACCCTCTCCATACGCAGCTCTCTCCTTGCATTTCATCTGGTAGAACTAGAAGCAACTATAGGAAGCTATATGCCAGGACTACCAAGTATAAAAACTCCACAATACCTTATCTGGCACAGCTGTTATGTGATGAGAAAACTGTTAGGCATGACATGATCAATTTACTGCGGCACTATAACAAATAGTTCCCATTAACTTTTGTTCTCCTTTCTTTGTTACTATTATATTGTTGCTCATATATTCTACTACAGACTAATTTTATATATCATATCCTGTGGTGCATTGTTTGAATATGTGAATGCAATGCTGTTCTTTTTATTTCTTCTACTTTTTGTTGTTTTCGCTTTATACTTCTAAATCCTTATAAAATTTATGAGGTAATTAGATGCAATATTGTAATGAACGCTGAAAATTCCATACCTGTACCACAAATACTGTTTGAAATAAAGCCATTATTATTAAAAATAACTTGGTTTTGATATCCGTTGATAGCTCTGATTCTATTTTTTGGTCTTCCCCAGGAACCTTCGATTGAATTGATATGAGTACCGGTTCTGGGGTCGACGAAGTTATCCTAATGGTTGACTCGATGACGTATATATCCCAATTGTGATAATCGGTTATATCCTGCCCATTCATCCGTGTGAATGGTGGTGCCTGGTAAGACGAGCCTCTGAAAAATAGGGAGGAGTGTATCAGCACTCCTATCTGGAGTCAGTTCGATGAATTTTTTGAGAATCTGGGTGTCGTAAATTCCCAGAACCCAAACGTTGTTAGCTCTAGCTCGTCCGCGATTGTACTTCTTCTTTATAAGAACCGTTTCATCGACATGGACGAGTACATCGACTCCTCCCAACACCTGAGTAACACCATTCATTTTCCAAGACGCCAGATCTTGACAAAACTGGAACCACTGCACAGTAGACGTCAACGTATTATCTGCTTTAGCCGCAGTTGATCGCACCCCGGACTTTAAAACGCAGTAATGCGACAGTTTCGACTTTTCAAAGAAAGTTCCTAGAAGACAATTAACTGAGTATCACTTACCAGTACGCACACTTATTCGAATACATATCCATCAATGACCTGGGTATACGGCTGGAGGTTCATGGAAGCACCACAACTACATATCCGAGTACGTCCTATCAATCAATTATCTAAACAGTACTGGAAAAAGTGATCTGGACGAAATCTGCATCTGAGCGGATGAACAGCGTTCATTTTCGCGCCAGAATAATGGCAAGCTTCCTCAACCAACGACTGGCAAGCTTTCAAGGTCATTTGAGCGTTCGCGCTCCTGGGACGCTATTCTTGTACTTCGCTGTCAACTTATCATTTTTAGGCGAAAACCATAATCACTACGGTCATAATATGTAGCATTGTTGTGAACTTGTGTATCAAGTGGTCTGTATTTTGAAGGAAGGTTCAATTTCTACAATATTCCGATTTCATGAACAAAACTTAGGCTTGTATGTGAAAGAAACTTATTACCTTCTTTGATATAAACATAAGTCCTGTGGAATGTGATTTCTCAGTTTATTAATATAAATACTATTGCGCATCGAGTTCCATAGCAATTCCACATTAAGCAAGAGATTATGAATGCCTCGCCTTCTCTTCTGCATAAATAACACTGGGATTACTTCACAAGACTCTCCACATTAAGTTCACTAAGGAACAATAGAAGCTTTTCCACTTTAGTGTTATAATTATAACAGATTAACTTGAGTTAATCTGTGAACTGCGTAGGCTTTTACAGTAATACAATTAGAAAGGAGATTTTATGTTACCAAGTCGGTTACTTTTTTTGGACCTGGGAAATATGGGTAAAAACGTGGACACTTTCCGTTTGCAACATGAATAAAGTGAGAGAAAGTGGGCGATTTTCAAAAACGACATGGGAGAAGTGGGAAAATATGGGATATATGGGAAAAGCGGGAAGAATTGTGGGATTTCGTTTTTGTAGCGCAAACATATCTTAGTACGTAATCACATCTGAAATTCATGAGCCTTGATATTAAACAATTTCCATTTAATAATTGAGAAGTTGCATGAAGACAAAGTCTGACTATTTCATATAAGTCATTATAACACGTTTGTTTATGTGAAGTCTAACTTTTGAAGCCGCAATTACCAACTCATTCTCGTGCACCCCTGGTAAGTCTCTGAAAGACGCTATAGTCAGTTTCAAGGTCATGATGGGTTCCTGCGTCTACTGGTTATATGTTTTCGTGAATTCGTTTTCCATTGAATTTTAAAGGTTTTTTTGAACGTTTTGCTTGTTTTGGAGTATGTAGGTCAGTTTTCTGTCACTGTATGCTACTAGTAAGGTTGTTTTTAGGCAGAAGTTCCCACTTATTATGTTGGTAGTTAAGGATTATGGTAAACCTGCAATCATTGAGCTAATTCACGTGCACTATGATAGTATAGTAACACTATTTAATAAATGAACTCCCTAACTGGTTTTCCATTGTTTGATAATGTGATTGAACCAGAACTGTGGGATTGTTTTATCCGCATGACCGGCTGTAATTCATCACCTTGTTCTTCTTAATAAGCATTATCGAAGAATAGGTTAGAATAAGTTTAGAATTGTTGTAAGCCTGGGGTGATTACGGTATAGGCAATAAATCGTATTAGTCGCCGTTACTCGCGATATGCTATGAACTAGAAATCTTCGGCTGATAAAACGCATTACATAAGGCACAGATCGGTGTAATTTGTAACTGACTTGCCAAGCGCTCTTATCAGGAAACAATCAACCAAAGTATGCTTTAAACTGTCGCTCTCAGGCATTTGAAGGGAAAGGAAGTGTAACACAGTTTAGACATACATGTTTATATTGTGAATACAAATGGAAACAATAAGGTAATGCAAATATTTTCACAAAAATGATCGATTAACAGGGGCACGTCGTAATCTCAAAGTTGTTTGCGGTTCATTTGCTAGCAAGGTGTCCAACCTTCTTGTGAACTCTGCTACTTCCCGCAGTGCAGCATCCGGATTTCTTTGGTTCAGAATGTTGAGACGACGTCTTAAACGTTCATAAGCATTTCTGAACGCGTTTTTCGGTTCCGGTGTTAGGCGGATGGCTCGTGGAATGTCCTCCGTGGTGTTATACTGACGTGTCCACCTGTCACTATTTCTCAGAATATCTAAGAGTAACAATTAAGGAAATAGAACTTACCACAGGTTAGATATGAATTTAAGAAAGCCTCAACGACATGACCACATGGCAAATTGTATGCACAGTATGTCCAACACGTGCATTTCGCCTCATCCCTGTTTACGAAGAAGATGTGACCACCTTCTGCGTAATTAACTGAAGTGGAAGATATTGAATGAAAGAAGAAGTACTTTTGAACCTTGAAATTGTTAAAATTTACATAGACAGTAAACTTACCCTCTGTTCCTAAAGCCAGCACCTCGGGAAGCACGTTTACTTCCAAAAGTGCATTTAAACGTCACATGCTCGTATTCCATAGGACCGGATGGATCCTTTTTACTGGAATCAACCCGATACCATGTGTTGGATTCCTTTCAAAGAAATAATGAACAACTTAGTTAGTACCTTCATAAATGCATCTAAAGCTTCCTTAAATTGCATCCATGTATAAAATACACAGCAAAGCATTATCCTTTGGAATGTAGCTGTTACATCACACAATATAGATGACACATTCCGTGAAGTAGACGCAGTAGGAGTACTTTGCAACATCATTTAATGGTTCTAACAATTCCTAACGTGCACAACACAATGATTTCAAGTAAATGAACAGTTGTATGCATTTCATTGCTTATCTACCACTTTTGTGACATAGGAAATTTACTTTATTTATGTTGACCTAGTATGTGCAATTCCCACAGGTCACTAAACTGAAAACTTAAAAAAGTAGATCACTTAATACATACATATATCTACATGTCCAAAATTAGACACATTATACGTTTAGCAATTTTTATTGAATTCTATTCCCATAGTAACAAAAAATGCATACATCCTATTTTGGACTTAAAATAAATGCATCAAAATTATTGTTAACTTATATTCACTTACTAGACATTCCCATATATCTCAATGTACTTTAAATACTACAAATGCATCCAAATAGCGTGTGACTATCACACTACACTCACACCAAAAAAATTAACACGCCGTTATATTATGGTAAGTTAAGACTGACTTTAAACTGACTGTAACTTTCCGTGTCAAAATAAAGAGACTGCCATTTTTACTTATATTTTAGACCAATAAGAAGCCAGCTAGCCAACAGCCAATCAAAATCTGCCTATATCGCTTTTCGTAAGTCTCTGGGTTTAATGACGAACAACTCTATTGATACATTTTTGATGACATGGAACTGAAATAAGGACGACAGTTGTAGAAACGAACCTTGTATTACATCCTCCTTGGAAATGTGACTTCCCTCATAGTTTAGTTTCAGTACTCAGTGAATAAAATAGAATGCAATCTGTACGATTCATGAAGTTCACAAAACGAAGTACTGCCTTCACAAAACAACCCAGTTTATGTTTCCTCAGTAAGGTAAGAAATGGGCATTGTGGTTGTGTACATTCAATAGATTGTGAACTGTTATCAGGCCCAAGTTGAATGTCGTCGGCACACATCTGTAATGAAGAGGAAAGAGAGAAGCAGTTCAATACGCGTCAATAACCATTAAGTGCATAAATACAGGCAATACTTTTTGATTAAAACCTACCTCTTCTGGTGATAAATCCAATTTCTTCTTTAGCCGCTGATCATGGCACCAGTTTTTAGTGGCTTTGACTATCGAATCGATTGTGCCCTCCTCTGTGGAACCAAGTTGTATTTGTTTACGAGTGATGACATCTGAATTTCATTTAAGTATAAAATGATCTCATTCCAAAAAGTCGACATACCAATAATTATAAGCTGGAAAAATGTGAAATCTCGGATACCAGTCTTTTCCGAAGTACCCTTATATGAAATTAATCTTGCTAAGTTTTTAGAGATGACTGCGCTCAGCAATCGGCGCGTAGATGTGGTGACGTCATTCTGCGCCTTAAATGACAGTTGGCACATCTGAAACGAATCAATTAAACAAGCTTGGTTGAAATTACTTACTATATCCTCGAAATACTTTCGGTTTTTTAGTTTTCGTTCGAAAATTTCTAGCATCGCAAACGATTTAACAGGCAGCTTCACATCGCATTCACCACCCTCATCAGTTTGGCCGTCATCGGTAGTGGCCAACGCGAGGTCGACACGCTCAATTAATTTCGAGATTTTATCAACTAATACTTCAACGCAAGCTGTGTTAAATAGTTATAGGATAAACAGAAAATAAGATGGAACTGCACCTGTTAGTTTATTAATGGAATCCTTCATTTCATGGAGAAGCTTATTATCCCTGGGTGACCTGAGAAAGAATGCTGTTAAGTTTGGTGTCACTTACATTACAGGTGTACCACAGTAGCGGCAACTATGTGTGACCCACTCCTCGACATGAATCCAAAACTGCATCATTATAATGTTAGGTTGAATATCTGTCATACCTGGTATTCTTTTTCGAAGCAGGTGCAGTACTATCAAGGTCGGCGTAATCGGGGTCCTCGAAGACATCACACACTGCTTGTCCATCAGGTCAGATGGGTAGTCTTCACTGACAAAAATGTCATTTTTCGGTGCGCTAATTAGTGATTCAATTATAAAATGATGCTTACTTTATTTGACGCTGCTGGATGCAAACTGCAGTAGATCTCGATGACTGACTGCAATTAGTTACACTGTACGTTCGTTGTAAAGCTTTGTGCTTTGCAAGAGCTTCTTGCAAGTCATCTGAAGAAGTAGTTGAGTAGCGAAAGGGCTAACCTGTTTCAAAAATAACTTCACACTGTTCCATCTTCCAATCAATCTTCGGGTACTCCTCCTCATAGGCAGTCTCCCAATTTTCCTCACTGCACACCACAAGCTTGGGGCCAAGGAACCAAGAGCTCCGGCATATGACGGCCTCATTTCTTCCATCAATCAAAGCAATACGGTATTTGCCCATTTATTCTGAAAGGAAAGGTACATTAGTGAATGAAGAAGAAATTACCATAAAAAGGCCCCACTTAAAGTAAGAGAAGTGTAAACTCAAGCTGATATGCTTGCAACCTCAACCCACTTTGTCGATCATGTCGGCTCTTACCTATGACTCGCATTAACTGCAACTGACGCCAATGAAACAACACGAATTAACAATGGCAACAACTCATTTGGCCGATGTGTGAGGCATTGAGATGAAAACGTTGAAGTGATTCGTGGGTATCGCAACACATTTATATTTAATTGCATTAATTGCAACCCATTCAGTGCCGCCTGAGAACTGGACTGATTTGTATATATCAAGCTTCGTAGAATCGAAAGGCTTATTAAAAAGGGCTCCTTATCCAAACAAGATCTGTATATAAATGCATTTTTCAATAAGCTTTTCGATTCTACGAAGCTTGATATATACAAATCAGTCCAGTTCTCAGGCGGCACTGAATGGGTTGCAATTAATGCAATTAAATATAAATGTGTTGCGATACCCACGAATCACTTCAACGTTTTCATCTCAATGCCTCACACATCGGCCAAATGAGTTGTTGCCATTGTTAATTCGTGTTGTTTCATTGGCGTCAGTTGCAGTTAATGCGAGTCATAGGTAAGAGCCGACATGATCGACAAAGTGGGTTGAGGTTGCAAGCATATCAGCTTGAGTTTACACTTCTCTTACTTTAAGTGGGGCCTTTTTATGGTAATTTCTTCTTCATTCACTAATGTACCTTTCCTTTCAGAATAAATGGGCAAATACCGTATTGCTTTGATTGATGGAAGAAATGAGGCCGTCATATGCCGGAGCTCTTGGTTCCTTGGCCCCAAGCTTGTGGTGTGCAGTGAGGAAAATTGGGAGACTGCCTATGAGGAGGAGTACCCGAAGATTGATTGGAAGATGGAACAGTGTGAAGTTATTTTTGAAACAGGTTAGCCCTTTCGCTACTCAACTACTTCTTCAGATGACTTGCAAGAAGCTCTTGCAAAGCACAAAGCTTTACAACGAACGTACAGTGTAACTAATTGCAGTCAGTCATCGAGATCTACTGCAGTTTGCATCCAGCAGCGTCAAATAAAGTAAGCATCATTTTATAATTGAATCACTAATTAGCGCACCGAAAAATGACATTTTTGTCAGTGAAGACTACCCATCTGACCTGATGGACAAGCAGTGTGTGATGTCTTCGAGGACCCCGATTACGCCGACCTTGATAGTACTGCACCTGCTTCGAAAAAGAATACCAGGTATGACAGATATTCAACCTAACATTATAATGATGCAGTTTTGGATTCATGTCGAGGAGTGGGTCACACATAGTTGCCGCTACTGTGGTACACCTGTAATGTAAGTGACACCAAACTTAACAGCATTCTTTCTCAGGTCACCCAGGGATAATAAGCTTCTCCATGAAATGAAGGATTCCATTAATAAACTAACAGGTGCAGTTCCATCTTATTTTCTGTTTATCCTATAACTATTTAACACAGCTTGCGTTGAAGTATTAGTTGATAAAATCTCGAAATTAATTGAGCGTGTCGACCTCGCGTTGGCCACTACCGATGACGGCCAAACTGATGAGGGTGGTGAATGCGATGTGAAGCTGCCTGTTAAATCGTTTGCGATGCTAGAAATTTTCGAACGAAAACTAAAAAACCGAAAGTATTTCGAGGATATAGTAAGTAATTTCAACCAAGCTTGTTTAATTGATTCGTTTCAGATGTGCCAACTGTCATTTAAGGCGCAGAATGACGTCACCACATCTACGCGCCGATTGCTGAGCGCAGTCATCTCTAAAAACTTAGCAAGATTAATTTCATATAAGGGTACTTCGGAAAAGACTGGTATCCGAGATTTCACATTTTTCCAGCTTATAATTATTGGTATGTCGACTTTTTGGAATGAGATCATTTTATACTTAAATGAAATTCAGATGTCATCACTCGTAAACAAATACAACTTGGTTCCACAGAGGAGGGCACAATCGATTCGATAGTCAAAGCCACTAAAAACTGGTGCCATGATCAGCGGCTAAAGAAGAAATTGGATTTATCACCAGAAGAGGTAGGTTTTAATCAAAAAGTATTGCCTGTATTTATGCACTTAATGGTTATTGACGCGTATTGAACTGCTTCTCTCTTTCCTCTTCATTACAGATGTGTGCCGACGACATTCAACTTGGGCCTGATAACAGTTCACAATCTATTGAATGTACACAACCACAATGCCCATTTCTTACCTTACTGAGGAAACATAAACTGGGTTGTTTTGTGAAGGCAGTACTTCGTTTTGTGAACTTCATGAATCGTACAGATTGCATTCTATTTTATTCACTGAGTACTGAAACTAAACTATGAGGGAAGTCACATTTCCAAGGAAGATGTGATACAAGGCTTATATCAACAACTGTCGTCCCCTATTTCATCATAAATGTATTAATAGTATTGTCCGTCATTGACTTCAGTGACTTACGTACCAGGGGACAGTCTCGTCTACTGAGTGTATGGTGATGAAATTTTCCACCTAGGTCACTTAAGTGACCATTGAATTCAGAAGACGTGAAAATACTATTGGTGTTCGATCGTAGCTGTCTGTGCTATTTTTTCTGGGTTAAGTAGTCTAATATGGTGAGTAATATTGGGGTTAAACGTATAATGTCAGGTAGAGATATGATTTCAAATCATTGTCAATGACACAGATGCATTCACTCTACGTGATCTTATTACTATCGGTTACCCCTCACATTTATACTTATTAGAGTTCCGTTTGATTTCCTTCTTCTCTACCTTCGTAAGCTATATGGAATGTAGTAACTTGAACAGGTTCACGTGTCTGCAAGCTTCTATGTTGAAAATTAGTCATGATGACATATTATTATGTTATAATTATTGTTTCGTTTAATTCCTAGAGGAACATAGGGCTTAAGCCGCGCGTATTCATTGCATTCGGTTCTCTGCTACATTTTTCACCTGGCTCCAAGTTTGCCCACACGTTTTCATCTCCTCTTCACATCACCTCCTCCAAGTCACCCTTGCACTGACGACCAACTCGCCGCTTCCCTTTCGGGTTCCACTCGAGCGATGGCTTGTCTAGTGATGTCACTTGATGGTTTCCTCAGAGTATGGCCAGTCCATCTCCATTTCTTCCCTCCTATTTGTTCCTGATTGACTTGCTCCCACAGATCTCTGTTGCTGATCTTTTCTGACTGGCCATCTGATCTTGAGTATTGAGCGAAGACAGCTGTTAATGATTGTCTGTAGTTTGTTTGAGATGCTCTTTATGATGTGCTGGCCAAGTCTCTGATCCGTATAGTAAGTAGCACTGACTGACTTTCCATTGGAGTTGAAAATCCGGATCTTATTTTTGATGCTGAATAGTGCTGTTGACCTCCACACAGACTTGAGAATAGTGAAATCTTGTCTTTCTTTGATATCTTTGGCATGTAGTCTAGGTATAAAGAGATGTTAAAAAAGTGGATAATAATCACCGAAATGTCAACAAATGATAATCGCATTTCTTTCATTTGGTTCTTGTTTAACTAAAAAAAACAGTTATCTTACAATAATTTCTCCTCTTACCGAGATAACTCACAGTCTGTTTCGTTATATCTCATGAGTTGGTGTATTTTATTCCAAATACGAATTGGAAACACATTGATGAAATATGTTTTGCTTATTACCAACTAAATATAGTATTTTTCAAGTGTGGAATGTAACAAATCGAACTGCTGCACTTCTGTGCTGAGGTCTATGTTAAGACTAAGTCAGCAGCTGCCTAGTGTCACAAATTACTGCAGTGTTAATTGGCTTAAACAATTATTAATGCCGTTTCCTAAGAACTCGATGCATTTCCCAATTCCTTAAATCCTACAAATATAGTGCACCGAAGAAGAAAACATTAACCAAAAGTCAGTAACACGGACATTAGAAATAGTGTGAAAAGAAGCGAATGAGATGGGTGATGTTTTATGCTTGTAGTACGCTTAACTAAAATACTCATGTATATGGATGAAGCAAAAAGTTGTGTGAGTGACTCGATATGATTATGAGCAATAATTTGTGCTCGAAACGTCATCAGATAATATTGCTGTACAACACTGTGTGATTTATCAAAATGA